GGTGCCAGAGACACAGAATTCTGCCTGACTCCATCAGGCAAATGGAGAGAAGAAGCCACAAGTACTTGGATGGCTGCAATAGAAGGACCACAGTAAGAGCGTCAGTATAGAACAGCAAGTTGTGTAGAAATGGGACAGAGGGTGTCTCCCTCTAGCTGGAAGAGTCAGCTGTTGAGGGAGACTGATGAAAGCTTTAGCAGTGAGGGGACTTTGATGGCCACAGGGGAGCAGCAGTACCGAGAAGGCACCGGGTGTAGAGGCAAGAGTGGGAGAAGAGGCCTGGAGAGGAGCAGCCTAGAGACAGGCACGGGACAGGGTGGGAAAGGGTGCCCACAGTAGCCTGCAGACACCCTCCAAAGCCATGTGTGAGGTTAGCTTCATTCTAGAAAACAATGGGGAGCCAGATAAGATTTTTTTTTTAAATTCTTTCTTTCTTTCGTTTTTCTTTCCTTCCTTCTTTTCTTTCCTTCTTTCTTCATTATTTAATAGGTACAGGGTCTTGCCACACAGTTCAGACTCATAGTAATCCTCCTGTCTCGGCCTCCCCAGTGCTGGGATTATGAGGTCAGCAGCACACCTCCAAGGTTCCAGGCCAGCACGATGTGGTGCCAGGGATTGAACTAGGGTCCTTTTGCTTGCCAAGCAGGCACTTATGCTGCCGAGCTATCTCTCCAGCCCTAGCTGAGATATCATAACAGAGAAATAATATGAACAAAAGTGAATAACGAACTTCTTGAAATGTTTGGTGTCTTCATTCTGTACAACTGTATAAGCATCCTACAATCTAAGGAAACATTCCAGGCATTGGTGTAAGAAGCCAGCTCATCCTAGCTTTCAGTCACTCACTCCCTGCCCTCAAGTAGGTTAATGCCTCAAGCCGGTTCAGTGAACTGAACTGACACATGAAGAACAAACTAACAAAATAGGAAAGCTGAACAGTAAGGGTCCACTGCACTTCACTGCTGAACACAGGTTGGTACATACACACCTCCTCTCCAAGAGGTCCTCTTGACCTCTTGGAGCTGGTTTTAAATTATTATTATCATCAACATCTTGATTTTAAGTAATAGTGATTGCAACAGCAGTTAACAACAATATCAGTACTATCATCCATGTCCTCAGCTACATGTTGAAATATATTATACTTAATCCTCACAAGAAGACAAAGTTGTTATCATCCTCGTTCTACACCTGAGGAAGCTTGGGAAAGTTAAATAATCTGCCCACACCTATTCATCGGGGAAGTCAAACTTGAAATGAGGTATGAATGCAGAGCCCAGAACCTGAGCCGTTTCTGTTGGCCTGCGTCCAGCATCTTTATAATCTGTTGGGTACCTTTACAATCTCCTCCACATACCTAAGTTCTACGAGAGCAATGAACAAATGTTTTCTTTGTACTTCCTTTGGCACTTTACGTATGAACCCAAGAACTTCTTGGTGAATAAATGGCAGCATTGTAAGGCGCTGATAAGGCAGTGTAGAGGAGTTCAGACACAGGCAAAAGCTGCCTTCTAGGCCTCACCCTGAGGAGAGGTGCGTTTCTCAGATTCCAATATGGCCGCCAGTAAGAGAAGACCTAACCTGCTGTTCTTCCCATTCCGATACAACTCCCTCCCAAAATGTGTCAGTCTTGCCCAGCATGGCCAGAAGAGTGACTTCTCTGATGAGGTCAGAAAAGGTATTACAGGGGCTGGTGAGATGACTCAGTGGTCTAAAGCACCTACTTAGAACAAGCTTAGCAAAGCACAGGGACTGCGGTTCAATCCCCCAGCACCACATGCCAGCCAGCCCCGCCCCCTGGTGGGCTGAGATGGCCACACACACACATACACACACACACACACACACACACACACACACACACACACACACAAATAAATAAAATTAAAAAAAAAAAAGAAAGAAAGAAAAGGTATTACAGTGAATCCCTCCCTGATGGGGACGCTGGTTGCCATGCTGTGGTGCCAAGTGGGTGGCCCCATCAAGAGGCCAAAACAATGGTTGGGCACTATCCAACCAGCTATGTGAGTGAGCCATGAAGGAAGTGACTTCCTGAGTCTTAGGGAGCATGTGACTTCAACTTCACGGGCAAGCCAGAGCCTAATCCAGGTAGGTAAGCCGCTGCTGACGTTCTTACCCACAGAAATCTGGAGTAGCAATAAATGGGGATTGTTGTTCCAATCCATTAATTTTGGAGAAGATCTGTTATATATACAGCAATAGACAACTAACACGTGAGACACTGGGAATGAATGCCACAAAAGCAGGCTGGAAACAGAAGCAGCAAAAGAATTCTGGGAATCAAATCACAAATTCAGGAGGGTGGGACCATAGGAAATAAAAAATATAAATATTAGGAAGAACCATCCCACAGAGAACTTTAGAAGTGGGAGAAATTTTAAGGGTTGTCTAGTCCAACCACTCATCAAATTAACATTCTTTAATAAGACCACTTCTAAAATAATAAGACTAAGGCAGAACACTGTGTAAATTTACTCAAGTTGAAGTCTAAAAGAAAGCTGACTGCCCACAGCTCCCCCACACATGGTAAGGCACTAGGAATGATGCAGTTCCCCCTTTTCTGAGTCTGTTTTCCAGAGTTTCACATACTCATCACCAACCATAGTCAAAACTATTCAACAGAGCAACTTCAGATATAAACAAGTCACAGGCTTCAAATAACTTCTTCCCAGCATATTGTTGTAGTAATAGTCATTGCTGCGAGGGTAAGGAGAAAGGACTGGAGTTGTAACATGGACCATATTCTTATAGCTGAACTGAGGAATTCCTGAAAGCAATTTAAATAAGAAGTAGAGGGAGAGCAGGAGGAAGAGAGGCAGAAGTGAAAGAAGGAAGAAGAGAAGAAGAAGGTTTTAATGTTAAATGGAGTCAACCAGACATATGCAATTAAATATTGCATTGTTTCTCTCACGTGAAATACCCAAAGGGTAAAAATAAGAGCAAGATGGAGGACAGGTATTGGGAAGTAGGAAGAACATGTTCAAGTGGGAAGGGGAAGAAGAGGGAAGAGGGGAAGAGACGGAAGGGAAAGGGATTAGAAAAAGTGAATGGAAGGGAGAAATGGAGACAAAGCTTTTGTAGGGCTAGAGAGATAGCTCTGCGGACAAAGAGCTTGCTTTGGCAAGTGCATGGACCAGGGTTTGATCCCTGGCACCACATACTGTGCCGGCCTTGTCCCCACAGTGTGCTGAGCCGGTGATAGTGACAGAGTCTGGGTGTGGTGGCACACGCCTGTGATCCCAGCACTGGGGAGGTTGGGACAGGAGGATCACTATGTGTCTGAGCTGCATAGCGAGACCCTGTACCAAAATACATAAATGACAAAAAACAAAACATGAAATGAAGCTTTTGTAAATGGGAAAGAAAAGAAGGGTAGAAGGGATGGTAGGGGACTGTGAACAAAAAAAGGATTAAGACATCAAGTGCAGGGACAGATGCCCTACAACGAATGGCATCACGACATATGGCAAGTATGTATTAACAAAAATGAAGAAGAGGAAGAAGAAAAGGTGGAGGAGGGGGCGGGGAACATGGCATGGGGGAAGAAATCATTTTGTTGAAATGCTGCGTGGGGGACACTGTTCTTAAACACATCTGATCTTGCCCCCCCCCAACAATTCTATGTCCTCAAATTATTTTAGTTCTATTTTTTCTTCTTGTTTCTCTTTTTCATATTCTCTTGATCTGAGGTAGAAAAAAACTGGGAAACCATAGAGAAGATGGATGAAGGCATCCAGCAAGTACCTAAACTCCAGATGAGGAGAGGTACAGCTTATGGTAAGGGGTCCAGCAAGGTCGAACAAGGAGAGAAGCCATTTAGATCAGGGCTTTCCTACTGCTGAGCACATCAGGCTATACTTCCTGAGGTCCTTATTAGTGAACCCCTATTCAAAGAGAGTAGGCACTGAGATGAAAAATGTTAACATCTACAATATTCTCTGCCCCAAGATATGATCTTTTCCTGGTCCTAGAGCTGAAATTCCTGGTTGCAGAGTTTCTTTTAGAGGACAGTAGGGCATCTAAGACTTCCACCAGGGGAAAGGTTCTCCTTCCTTATTCCGCATCCAAGGAGATACAGGCACTGGCCTTGAACCAAGTGCGAAGACAAGGAAACCTGTTGTGGAGTAGTCGCCTATAACGCGTGCTACTGTGCTCACAGCTGCATTAGGGAAAGAAGAACGTTCAGGTCAGCACGAGAGGAGAATAAGCTAGTGACCATGGCCCACAATGCCCATTCTTTACAAAGAAGTCATGAAAAGTCACACGCTAGGCTAAGGGTATGAACGAGAACTCTGAACAGTTGTCAGAGTAGTAACACAGCGAATCATCCCGCCAGGAACACATAACATAGTTCAGTAAGAAAGAGAGAGATACATGGCTTGGATATTTGGAGCATATGACACATACCAATGAAAGGCCTGTAGGGTGAGGTCAAAGCATCTTACTTAGCACCTCTAAGGACAGAAAACCTAGACCTTCAACGAACACCTCATGGCATCACTAATGCACAGGAAAAGGGAACCAAGAGGAAAATCCAGCAATGTTCACCAAGGTCACAGACACACGGGGCCAATAAAACATGCCGGAAATGAATTAAGATGATGGCCAAGTTTTGTAGAGAAGAATGGTCAAGAAAGGTCTTCCTCAGACAGAAACAATCCCACTTCTTGCAGGAACAGTCTTCCTGGACTGGTGGAAGGCAGTCTGATTTGTATGTGGCTGCTCTGCCACCCAAGCCACAGGATCAGAGAAAGTAATTACTATGACTTAGTGATAGCAGATTCCTAAGGACACATTCTAGAGCAAAGAAACTCATCCTGCACGTCTTAGAATTTCCTCAGCTCAAGCACCAGGCCTGTGTACAGCCAGGGCTGGGCTAATATGGGGACTGATGAGCACACGACCCATGTCCAACCCTTCAAGGAGTTCACAATCAAAGGGATCTGGTCCCAGGCATGGCCCCTGCTCTGAGTTCTTACCATCATTGAAGCTGTCGCTGGGAGTCACGTGGGTGAACGGGGACTGGGCCGGGGGCTCCTCGCACAGGGAGTAGCTATGCTCAGCCTGGATGAGGGGCGCCGGGGATGTCGGGGATGGCTCCACATCCATGGACACACTCTTCTCTGAGAGGAAAGGGTCATTCAGGAGCTGGCCCAGGACATTCTGGGAAAACTCATCCAGCAGTTCTGAGAAGTGCTGTAGGAAACAAAGGAAGAACAAGTCAGTTTTCCTTGATCAAGTTCTGATATTTACTCTGCAAATAAACTCTTCAGGCCAATATAGCAACCACGGGGATGTGTGAAGTCTCTCACTCACAATGCCAGCTGCCTACGTCTGGCTGGTACACCGCCTTAGCATTGAGCAGCTTACAATCAGTATAACATTACTGCTTGCTCTGCAGTAGGCTGGGAGGGTAGGTGAGCGGATTCTTTTGGCATTTCCTGATACAGCCACCTTGATCTGCTGGGTCAGCCAGGATCTGTGTGACAATCTGCCACACCTTATATGGGCAACATCTCCAAGTAAGTTATCCTATGGGCAATATCTCCAAGTAAGCGCTATAGCATGGGGCAGGCATCATAGTAGGGGGACAGGATCAAAGGCACTGAGAGAAGTGATTGTCCCCATTGTCTCTCAAGGCCCCATCTGTTAAAGATTTGGTCCCAACCTATCTGTGGTACTACTGGAAAGCAGTGGAATCTCTAAGAGCCAGAGAGGTCTTCACTGGAGAGTCCCTTTCATGGGGGGCCACTGTCTCTTCTTCCTTCTCTCATTTTTTTCTCAGCCATGAGGTAAGGGGCTGTGCAATCCTACTACCCACACACCCATGATGTCCTAGTACAGGTGCAAAGCCATAGGGCCAACAAGTTCCAGACTGAAACCCTAAAACTCTGAGCCCAAATAGCTCTGTCTCTTTATAAAACCATTAAGTCCGGCATTTGTTACAAAACAGATAGTTCTTTCTATTCCTCCACTGCCTGGATGTGGCTCTTCTCTAATTGTCCCTTAATCTCTGTCACCACTCCTCTGGCCCCAACACGCCACGAGCATAATAAGAGATGGTCCCTTATAATCCTGGGGGTCCTGTTCTTCCATTCCTCCCTAAAGGACCAGAAGACCCCTCCACCCTCCTACCTCAATGCCGATGTGTTTGTTATCTGGGGACCTGCGAGGCAGGGTTTCTCCCCTAGCACTAGTACCTTACTGAGCTGGATAATCTCTTGCAGGGTGTGAGAGGTCTCTCTTCATACTGTAGAATATGCAGTATCATCCCTGGCCACACCCCATGAGAAGCCAGCAGGTATGAAACCAAAAATGTTTCATTTAGTGATAGTTGGGGTAAACTGAAAGTTCTTGGGATTCACACATCCATGTGTGTAGTCAAGTCCTACCATGAGCCAAAGAAGCAGTGATGAAGTGAAAATTAACACAGAAAGAGAAGGTGAAGCTCTAGGATGAAGAGAGGTTAAGATAGATTTTTCTCTTACTAGAGAGAGGCAGACAGCAGAGAATAGCTTCCTGCAGGCTGAGTCCCTAGGGGTCAGAAGGCTGGGTTCTACCCACACAGTAAGCACAGGACATGGCTGCAAACATCCGGGTTAGAATACCGGGACAACGCTGCGGGCCCTGAGCACAGGTGTCTAAGAGAAGGAGAGGGTGGCTGGGAGAGATGGCTCTGAGCCCAAACTCGGCTGGGCCCCAGAGGTCATTAGGAATATGTTAGGCAGCTGTTCCCAAATGCCAAGTGCTTGCCTCAAGATTCCCTGGGGAGTTCACTGATCTTCTGCGATAAACTTTGTTAAGTATTCAAAAAAATGAAGAAAAGTATTGTGAGCATTCTGCATCCATTCCTTTTTATTTTTTTATGTATTAAGTACATGACCCACAGGGTCTCACTACACGGATCAGACTAGTAGTTATCCTCCTGCTTTCAGCCGCCCAAGCGCTGGGATACAGGCGTGTGCCACCACGCTCAGTCTCAACTGCAGTCTCAGCACACCCTGGAGACTGGATTGGCACAGCATGCTGGGAATCATTCCTTTTTATTTTTTATTTATTATTTTTTAAATGAAATGCATGCTTTATTGGAGGACAGGTGTGCTCTGTTTTTCATGGGGTTTCCCATAGGGCAGCCAGTTCCTTTCTTTTTTTTTTTTAGTTTTCTTTTCAAAATTTTATTGATAAATAGATAACAATGAGACAGTTTCAAATCAAATCGGAAGTACAGTTTCAACAAATAATACACTGCATATATTCTTCTTAG